AATTTAAAGCTACATGTGACTGTGGCATTTTTTTAACCTCTATTATCACTCCAGAGGTACTATAGTCCTTCTGATTTGTGATACTGTGCATGCTAGGACCACTAGCATGGTCCTAGCTTTCCTTTGGGCCAAACTTTCCTTTAGGTGTTAACGGTGTAACTCATCTAAACCTCTACAGTACAGATATCTACATAGCCTGTTCACCCCCATCATTTCTGGATATAATTTATCCTGTTTTAAAGTAACATCTAAAACAGGTTAGATAAATCACCTGACTATGATCTAGACAAGTAGCTTAAATGTAAATATTTACCTTTGGCCAGAGGAAGCCCATCTAGGGCCTTCATTTCCATTGCACCACAAGTGTAATTCTGAGCTTGTATTCTAAAGATAGAAAGAATTATCTTAAGGAAAATGAATATTGCACAGTACTTTTCCTTGCCTAAGTATTAAAGCGTGCATGATTTAGTTGGAGTCATATTTGGTAATATTTCTTTCTCTGCAGATTTTGTCAGCATGTCTGGGATACCAAGGGGTGACACAACACAGGTTAGCCCTTTTGTGTACTACTAACATAACCAATACGTGCCATGACCAATACTCTGTTCTACGGAAGGTTAAAACACTATTTAAGTTTTGCTATAGTCAATGGTCAAAAAAGTAAATAATAAAAATGAGACAGGAAATAACAAGATACAAGGCCATAGATATGTTGAATGCAAACTAAAAATGTGCCCATGAGATATCAAAATGGAAAGAGTTTAGCTGTGCGACATGCAATATGTCGAAATAACGGGTAGAAATTTTATTATGTAAAGTGATAAGTCAACTTTCTTAGCGTTGTAAGTGCTCAGATAACTGTTGAGACTCACAACTTAATGATTTAAGCTGGAAAACTTAGCATATTAAAAATGAATATATAAGAATATTGCCCCAAAATAGTACATTTAAAATGCATTCCCCAAAGCCTTTGAACTAGTAAGAGATTAAGCTTAAGCAATCTAGCATATTAGAAAAGCTGAAACAAAACCCTTTTAAGCAAGAAGTTTGGATTTTTTTTGTCTTTACACATGCCTTTTACAAATCTTTTATTACTAATGCGCCAAGAAGTGTCAAATGAAAGCAAAAGAAAATTTTTGTTATGAGTATATATTGAATCAAATTACTAACAATGATGATGCATACGTGGGAATGAGGAGACAGTTTATGAAGGTACAGATAATATCTTAGTGAACTCTACTTCCTTTGTTGAAAATCTGGTTATTTTTGCTGCATGGAACTACTGTGGCTTTCAGAGGCTACTAAATGAATACAGACCTGAAGAAGATCATTTTTACTTCTTGTTTTTTCAGGTGAATCTAATGTATGTGAAAGGGTCACACTTTGAACTAAGGTAGCCAAAATTCTCTTTAGCACAGATATTTCATAGGCAAAGTAAAGAGACTTTTTCCTACCGAGGTTTCCTAGAGGGCCTTTTGGTGCTGAGGTGGACGTATGCATTGGGATCTAAGGCCACCTACTTCTTGGACTTCATGTGCTGAAAGTGCCAATTGGTGCCAACAGCAGGCAGATATCTACTAATCAGCAGCAAGCCTCAGACTACATGCCTGACCTCTACTGAAAAAAAGCTTTATATAAAGATTTTAAAATCCATTAACAATCCCTTGTGCAAGCTTGTCTTTCTGACTTGGAATGGATATAACTGCCTATGAGAGAAATTAATTGAGAATTGCTGACCTGGGAAAGTTAGGCACCTGAATCCACGACCTTGAGGGCCTGCATATTCTAGATCTTGGTGCCTAAATTTAAGCCCTGAAATTTGGAGAGTCTGGGACTGGTTTCTTTATTTTAATGCAAATAGCTGGTGTAAATCCACAGAGCACATTCTAGGACATAAATAACTCAGCATTACAGTTGTTAGTACAGAATGTATCTACTGTTCATCTAAACAGCATCTTAGGAGATAAAAGCATTCAGGGAATATAAACAGAAGTGAAATCTAGAGCAGTCAGCACCCTGCATTTTCCTTTCATTTTCTTTTTGACAGACTGGATTATTAATCTCATGGTACATGTCTCAAAATCTGTTTTTCTTTCTTCCTGCTTCTGCAAGTTTCTCTTTTTTGCTCTGTCCCACTTCCTTTAATTTCCTTTCACCTTCTATACAGTGTTCTTTGTAGACACTTCACCTTCTTCTATATTTACCTGTCCTACTCACAGAAATCTGAATGCTGGCATGTCACGTTTTCAAGTTTTTTTGTCTCTTTCCAACTACACTCAGCAAATGCCAGTCTTGGTACCCTAAGGTTCATCTGGCCTTTCCAAAGGGCACCCCATCACCAAAATCATTCTGCTCACTGGCTGCATAGCAGAAAAGGGAAGAAGACTATTATAATATCCTTTGACAAAACCAAAGGTCTGACTTATCAACTTCCACTGCCATGTGGCAATTCTCGTGGAGTTTCTAATCCAAAAGGACAACGCAGTCTGCATAAGGTTCCACAGTAGAAAGTCTGACTTTCTACTGTTGCACAGAGACATTCTGGCCAGCGGCAACCTGACTCCAGCAGATTTTAGCAATAACTTAGAAGGCTCAGATGACTGACAGTAGCTAAAAGAACTAAAGGCAACCAAATGTTGCACAACATTATCTTTAATGCTGAATGCTAAAGCTTTTGCTGTGCGCTGTTTGTAAGCGTGTTAAACTAGATGGTGCCTGTAACTAACAGGTGGAGTGCTTGGTCTGTAGCACTGCTCTCAGCTGCCTCTGTGGAAAAAATAAGCAGTATGTTATATTCTTATTTGGTGATAGCAAAGGACTTACTATGTTATAAAACAAGAATCAGTGGGGAAAAAGGTAATATGAAAACTCTGCTGAAAATAACTGAGAGTGACGTAAAGGTATAGGATTTTTAAAGACTCACATAAAGTATGCGAGTCACATAAACTATTTACTGTTTCCCTCAAACTGGTATCGAAGATTGCTGATGTATGAGAAAGCCATGATTTTCCTTTAAGGTAGCTGAGACATCCTGTTTCTAAGAAGGATTAGCGTATAGCTCAAGTACTGATACTATTAGGAACGCATAGGGTATTAAAATATGTTCATGGAAAGAGGAAAATTCTTGGCAGATTGTCTCCATGTGAGATGCTGATCATCTTTGCTTGAACAGAAAACTGCCATTTCTGCAGCTTTAGAGATTTGAAATCCTTTGGTCCTGAACAGTTGGCCATCTTGTTTCTCCTGAGAGCAAATGCTGGGAGTATAACACTTCCGTAATGGTGAAAACTACTTTGGATTGCCTCGCGTTTTGTCTGCCAAAAGAGCACGTGGCGCAGCAGCAGGGTGAGGTGCAAGCTCCTCTGTGTGCGAGCCATTACGCCTTTGTAAATACAAGGCAATTTGAGCTAGCTCAACCCCCAGTGAGCTAAGAGTTTGCTCCATCATGCTTATTGGGGTAAGAGCCTGCAGGTGGGAAGTTGCTACAGAGAAGCTAACACAAGGTAGTTTGAAATACCATGGTAACTTGTTTGTTTTTTTGGAATCACCGTCAAAGGCTGCTTGATGGACCTAATAAATCTGCAAGGATGTTTGACCTTCGTCAAGTGCCAGGAGGATATCAGCGACCATAGACACTAATGAAATCACAGGAGACTACCCAGACTTTAAACATGATCAATAAGAAATTTGGAAGCTGGCTGGGTCCTGGGGAAGCCTGGAGGCAACCTTCCCACCCCTGTCAATGGCGAAGGGCGTACGGGAGTGAGAGCCACGCACGTTTGTGCAGCCAGCTGTGGTCACTCCTCCCAACCTTGCAGCTGCCGTGGCCGGGGTGGTTTGCAGCAACCGTGCCACACGTTAACATCTCTGACCTGGGGATTGGCAGGGACACCCTGGCAGGGCTATTGCTTTTGACAAGCCAATGTATCCTCTACCATCTGCCAACAGCTCTAAGTGCTCAGGATCAGAAGTAACAGCGGCTTTGGTATGAAATGAAGTCCAGCCCACAATTTCAGTCCTGTAAAGTCTTGTACATGTAAATAAACCTGCTCATATGGAACTGATTGAAATTTTTCATCAGTTTATTATTTATGTTGAAAAATAATTGTTTTTCCTAGACAATTCTGCTGAAACATATTGTTTCAGCATGTGCGAGGAAACATGCAGTTGCAGACTTCCTTCCTCCCAAAACCCTTTTGAAAATGCTATTTTTTCCAAACTATTATGTTTAGATTTAGTGTGTGTGGGAGAATACCTATTTCTCTTTTCCCTTCATTTAGTGTTTTCCAGTTAAATGCTTATTTCTTGAACATAACCATAAAATAAAATGTATTTTTTTTTCAAAATTACAGCAGAATATATTTTATTGGCATGGAAAACACAGAAGATTATTAGTAATACTGACAAAATATTTTCTTCAGATCAACTTTGAGGATTTATGACAGTTTGTTAGATTCAGAATTTTGGTAAATATTGTAACTGAGAAAAGTGAATTTTAATTTTAGAAACAACAAAAATATTTGAAGAGAGATTTGGACAGTTTTTTGTGCCTGCTTTTAATTCATAGAAAAGAGATAGCGCTAAAGGAGAATAAAACACCACAGAATAGGACAGCTGAGAGAAAGAGACTGTAAAGTGGTAAGAATGTCAGATAGACAATATAGGCAATGGTGATAAAGGAGGACAACAGAAACACAAGAAAATAAGGTTTTGGAACAAAAATCAATCAATAGAATAGTAGCAAGCTGCTAAGAGGAAATGGTATTCATCTAGTAGTTCTGGCTGAATTTGAAATTGCTGATATATCTTACATGTACTCTATTACTTGTCAGCCTCAAATGAAAGAAGGGTGCTCAGGAAAGTGCCTGAGACTGACAAACCAGTTATGCTTACTGTGATTCCACACCCATACCAGTTTCTTGGGCTGATCTACCAACTACTCACCACAGGGTTGTGGACTGACCAGGAATGTCTGTCATGTTGTATTTATTTCCATGCAGACCTATCTGTGCAGTAATATGAAGAGAGCAAGCACTGAAGTGGACCAAACAAAACTTCTAGTAAATCAGAAATGTGGTCACAGCCAGCCAGCGTACAAAGGCTGAGAGAGCTGCAGTGTTCAGGACAGAAACAAATGCAGGTAAAAAATGATACTCTATATCAATCATTTACTATCTCTAGGAAATGAGGATGGCTAGGACAGATCTAAAATGCCTTGGAAAGGCTGATGCATAGCTGAAGAACTGATGTTGGCTCTTTGGACACTCTCGAAGAGCCAGAAGCTGATAGGGCTTTTTCCAGTCTTGCCCTGCAGGATTCAATTTTTGATACGGATATTTTACTTTTAAATATTTTTAGAGAGATAAATGCTACCAGGTTTTTGCTTCCCAGGCACAGATCAGATAAATAAAAGTTGGTTACTAGGTAAATTGTTTTAATTTCAAAGGAAAACTGAGAATATAGAAACCCAGCTAATGAAATCAAAAATGTTGTAGGAGGTCCAAGATGTACTGTGAAAGAACTTTTTTAGCAAAAGATGTAAATTTTTATGGAGTTTATATTGTATTTATAGAGAAAATAGCTCCAGGTCTGTGTGAGAGACTACCGCAGAAAGAATATTAAGAAAAGCAGATTGCCTACCAGGAATGGATTAATGGATTAGTCAGCAAAGAAACTTATGTCAGAAAGTGTGGCAGTCAGGTGAGAATTTCCTAAATCCATCTCTATTTAAATCAAGTGCTGTCAGCTGCCTAGGGACCCAGAGACAAAATCTGCTCTGAATTTCTTAAAAAATTGGCCAATGAAGTACAGTTTATTTTTATATGTGATCATCTGCCTTTCAAAAACCTTTTTTTTATATTTATATTTATATTGCATTTAGTTGGCCTTAAATTTTACTTTTGTCAAGATATCATTTCAGATGGAATGTTTTACTGACCTTGCAATTATTGTTGCCTTCCTGCTTGTTTCTGCTATGGGGTACCTAACTAAGAAAGAAACAATGTCTCTCCAAAAGCTCCAGAAATAGGAATTGCAAAACCCAGCTGTGCATTATATCAAGACACTTTTGCCTGAACTATGCTGTGTTGTGACATTTGACCTATTGGTAGGAAGGTGACTTTTTGAAGGCAATAACAAGATCAAAACAAAGAGAAGATTATTTACCGGACTAGTAAAAAGTTTTTGTACACGACTTTGGAGAACTGACCCATTTTCTAAGGACACAATAGTTTGCCATCTAATAATCCCAAACTGAAGGCATAGTAGTTGGAGATTCAGCCTCAACATCAAATAGTGCAGAAGGTATGGACCGAGCTAATTTATTAGAGTGCACATATCATCCTCTGCCCCCACTAAGCAAAAGTCAAAATAAAGTAGTGTCTGTAGTGGATGTTATTAATATAATTCTTATAAAGAGGATATTCAATCAAAAAGTAACAAGTCCAATTAGCAGTAAACTAAGGGAAAAGGTGGACCTTGAATCATTACAGCTATACTGATGTTTTCAAAATGTCCTACTGGACATACAAGGAAAGTCTGCAGAGCCTATAGAAGGTAAGGACCAGTGTTTAAAGCAAAGACACTCTCAGCATGTCTCTGAGACGGACTCAAAGGCAGAGCTGGAACTGTGCTTGATTGGCACTATAAAATGTCCTATTTCAATGGTGCAGAAAGCCACAGATGTTGGCATAGATCATAACTGATACAGCAACCCAATACCAGATGTCTGATATGAAAACCAGCTAAATCAGATAGGCTTTGGAACTACCCTCTGGTCGTTCCTTCAGCTACTGACATCATATGCAGTGACTAATTGGAATGACAGGAAGTAATTAGCCATAGACTGATTGTGGTAAACCTTTGTGCAGATGAATAATGTGGGAAAGACAAAGTGAACATCCCATTTGAGCATTTATTTTCATCCTCAAAGGGAACAATCAAAGAAATCCCCCAAATCACAATTCCTGTTGGCACTTCCTGGGACACAAGACCCTTCGGAGAGCAGAGGCAGAAGACAGAACAAAATCGTCCATTGCAGTGACGACTGATGCTGATTTGGGACTGATCCCAAATTCACTGCAAACATTGCAAATCTTGGCCTTGGGAGTGTCTGAAAGGGGGACGAAGCAGACAAGTCCATTCTGCATATTGGCAGCCTTGGAAGCTGTGCTCACACTAGGGAGGTTCAGATGCCCACAGCTCCCAACATGACCTGTAGCCTTTACTTGCTGCTGGGATAAAAGGTCAAAGGAACACAGTGGCTGATTTTCAAGGGCTGATGGAGCAGTAGAAAGTGTATGTAGCCATAACCTGTTGCTTCCTGTAGACATGAGACCGTTAATCTGGTTGCAGTATAAACCAAGTATAGTGTAAGAAGTACGCTATCTATACCAGTGTTCCTGACTCTCAGTCTTATGTTCATGAGAGTGAAAAACAGCAGCATTAATACACAGCTGGAGAACTGCCAGATCATTTATTTTTTTCTCCTGAAGTACTGCACATTTTCTGTTTTCCTGTGTGCAGGCAGAACCTTGCTTTGATTAGGCCTGGGAAAGCCAGAGCCCACCCGGCTTCAGGGGTGCTATCAGTGCAACTCCTGGATTATTTTAGCAGCAGGAGTTTCCAAATCTAATGTGGCTGACGCTCTCCAGACCTGCTGTTCCTGCTCAGAGCTGTTAAAGCTCTGCTCAGTCTGGGGTGAGAATTGCAGAGCTGTGTGTATCGCGGTGAGGCACTGTGCCTCTGCCACAAATGGGATTTCTTTCTCAACCTCTAAGTGTACCCCTGCTCAGGTGCTCTGACAGGGAAGATGATAGAGACACATTTCTTCAGTTTCATTAATGCACGGCAAGGGTGTTGCAGCAAGTGTTTAACTTCTGCTCTCTAGCACATAGGCCTCCTACCAGGGACCTGTGAAGTCCCTGGGCATTTCAGCTAATATTTTGATGGCCAGTATGAAGCTCGTTGCTTCATGACGACTAGGGCGAAGATTAAACCAAGGCTTCAATTGCCTCTTGATGGATGCTTTTAAGTAGTGTTTCATCTTTATTGTAGTGATATCTACTTTGATATCTACTGCCCCCATAAATACATGGTGCCTTATCTCGCTGTTTCTACTAACTGCTCCCAGGGCTTTCTGAAGCTTTTAAAACTTGAGCATACTAACTGTACAGTGCTTGCCTAGAAAGTTCACAAGCTCCTAAGGAAAAGGAAACCCACACATCAGTGATATTAGAGGTGTTGCAAAGTGCAGCAGCGCAGAAAGCTGCAAATATTTGTAGAAAATAGTGCTATTTAAGCCTTCTGTTTTTCTTCTCTTCATATTCTTCCCATAGAGAATTTTCAGAAGTACCTTTTCTTTCATCGTGAGTAATTACTATCTGTGGAGCTCTTGGAGACCTCAAATTAAAGTGTAAATTATTCTTATTATTTTATGCAAATTGTAAAAAGGTAATACTGTTCCCTTTACAAGTGTCATCTATAGATGATTGTAGAGCAGGGAAAATACTTCAAACCATTTTCCATGAATATGCATTCAAGTTTTAGGCAAACTTGATTTATCAGTGTTCTTCCTCTTTCATGTTTGTTTTCCATTAGAATTTGAAATGAATAAGTGAAATGCATGACCATAGATTAATACCAAGGCATCTTCTTGGAAAGCAAATTTTCAATTTTTGTGTATCAGCAGTCATGTCAGAAATGTGGAAAGAAGCCTGTATGGCTTATGTCTCTAGTCAGCATCAATGAATTTTCAAAAATTCTCGTGTATATAATAAATATGTAAATTGGTCTTGGTCATCAGAGAGCACAGTTAAAACAGTTTAAAAGTCGAGATACAGAAATTAAATACAGTTTATTAATAGGCTAGGACTAGGGTTTAATAATGTTTCCATTTAGAAACAAACTGTTATAAAATAACCCTCTATACACTGGAAGTAAATATGTTACTATAGGACTAGAACACTAATGCTACCCCTAAAAAGCAACTGAACAGGTTCTGGCTGAGGGTTAAAAACGGCTTTAGCTGCTCTAGGCTGGGCACTGGGACCAGAAGTATGGTCCTTGCCTGTACTTGAGTACACCATATCTATTGCCTGTACTACTCTAGTGCTGTACCGCTGTGTAGAAGAGGGAATTGTCAGATCTGTCATCTATCCCTGATGCTCATCAGCCCTGGGGCATTGCAATCTCCTACTGTGGCTGTTCACTGAGTAGCTGCAGCGCCAGCGACAGGCATGCTGAATGCAAAGGTCCAAGGCCTGTAAATGACTCTTGTGAGTCAGTATGATTTGATGTGACGAAGTTTCTGCTTTTTTTCTGTATTTCTTTAAGCAAAATAAGCGGGGAAGCTTATTCCCCTTAGAGCTACGCTTATGGCATTATTAAGACCGCAGAGCGATGTGCCCAAAGGTCTAGAACCCCGCTCGGAAGACAGCGTGCACAGCGCAGGCCAGCCCTCTGTACACGCGCCTCCCTTCAGCTCTGGCTTCCTGCTTCTCTCGCTGGGCCTCCTCTCTCTGTTAGCAAACATGGTGGGCTTGCTTTGAAGCTGACTGCATAAGACAGAAGAGGACCATCCTATTTCCTTTCAGGTATGCAAACAACTTTATCCCGAGTAAGACAATAAATGAAATGGCTTTCTATAGGTAGACTGAAAGCAATGCAAACATGTGTGGTTAGCTTACTGAGAAAAGACCGCTAAATGACTCAAAATCAGATGTTTTACTTTGAAAGGCCATTAAAACCCAAACTATTTCTTCAGCACATGGTCTAATTACAAGCACAGGCTGCTACTTTAGCCTCAAAAGTGATGAGTTACACATCTGTAGTCAATTTGTGATATCTGGATATTCAGGATTGCTTTGAGTTGGTCATACATTTATTTTAATATTACATTTCCCACTGTAATTCATACTGTCAAATTCTTAACAAACAGTTATTTTTAAAAGGCAGATTTGTTAACATGATAAACCCCAGACAAATATTAAGCCTGGAAAATAAATCTGCCACTAACCGACATACTAGCCTCATTCTATATTCTCTCGTCAGTGGCTGATTATTTTCCTTGCGAGAAGAAGGAAGCCACTGATGTGTAATGAAAGATACAGCTTCATTGTTTCATCTTTGAGAATACATACTTAGCTGTAAAGGGGTCTTTTGCACTCAAGGATTTTCTGTTTCTAAGAAGTTCAGCTGTGATGGTATGATTACTTAGCTTGAATACCATGTGAGGTTTTGAAATACCTTTTCAGATATCAATCGGGAGGTAAAAGGCAAAGTGGCTCGAACCCTAGAGATCCTATGAAAACGCTGTTCCTTGCAGAAAGTGGCCACGTTGGCTTTGTATGTTGTTGAATAGATGTTTTGTGTTTACAGTGGGAAGCAAACTGCCTGCTATTCTAAAACTATGCAGGCTTGCTTGAAAAGACGCTCAGCTAGTACAGGTTTCTCTCTAGGTAAGAGCAGAAGAATACACCTATTTACATATATCTTAGCACGAAAAATGTATTCTCTTTACTTCTGGAAGGAAGCATGTTGCTGCTTTGAGTTTGTTGTAGCCAGAGCAGGTCCTCTTCTAGAAGCTACAGCTGACGCTGAGTCACAGATCAGGGTGAAAAAGCAATACCCTCCCTTGCAAACTCCCCATTTGTGTGGTCCTGTCTCCATGTTGAGAGAAAAGTGACCCCCATAATTCTTCATTGTTCAGGTACTTTATTTTTATTACCATAGTGCGGGGTCCCAAAATCATGGCCTCACACAGGCCTCTGGAATAATGTAGGAACATACAGTTGAGTTTTATCAGCCCTTTCAAAGGTATAGAGGAACTGGCTAGGGTTAATTGGAGTAACTGGGAAGTTCTCAAGCTATTTCACTTGTGCTTTCTGGTGATCTGGTGATCACACTAAGTAACTTCTTAAGACTTCAGAGAGATTTCATCAACGCGTGGATTCCTTGATGTCTTGGTTTTTTTAATGTATGTCCTTAAAGAGACATCATAAACCAAAAAATGACTATGTAAAAGTGAAGTAAGAGTAACGTGAGGTACTGCACCTAGCCTTTAGCTTGTTTGACAATTTCTGTAGTTTTAAGACTGTTTTCTCTCTTTTTCTTTTTAGCGCTTCTTTCACGTTACCAAATTGTGAAGCCAGTGCTGCAAGCTGACAGCATAACTGGTTATGCAGAAGAAGCAGAAGCAGCGTTCAGGAGGTGGCACTGGACTGATCAAGGGCAGCATGGCAGAAATGAAACTTTCAGCCCCTGCTCTTGCCAGGCATTTCCACAGAAATGTGCTTTTCAGGTTCATGGCTGTACTAATATACACCATTACACGCATTTTGGAAATCCAGCTCTTACACTGCTGATCACACATTTATTTTCAATCCCAAGGCCCCGGGGCACTCAAAATGACAGGTAAGGAGTCTTGTATTTTTTTATGCAGGGGACACTTGTCCTACATGGTCTTATTCAGTTTATCTCAGTGTAGCTGCCTTTTCCTCCATCAGCCCTCTCCTGTCTTGTGTACGTGCTTTCAGGGCAGGGGCCTCTCATGTACTAGGTATGTGAATGATAATGAGTGGTAAAGCCTTTACAGAATTTCAAACTGAAGAAATATTTTATTTAAAATCCACACTTTCTTATCTCTGCATGCCATATTTTTGCCTTTGAGGACTTTGGATATAATATATGTTTTGCAAGGTATTTTATTGGTAAATTTATTCTATATTCAACTTTGTTTATGACATCTTTTCCAAACAGCTTTTATTTCCTGGGTTAGCGTAGTAGTGTCAAATCTTGTTCACTCTAGGTTATAAATACTTATATGAAATGGATTTTTTTATTGCTACCGCATGTCAACTGGCAGCAGACTTGATTTTGCTAAGATCACATATGGCATGTGAACCTCATTTTGTATTTGTAAATCAAAAACACATTTATCAGAAGATACTTGTTCCCTAAACTGAGTGTGAAGGAAAGCATTAGGTTATGGACATTTCTCATCTTTTTAAAATTACTCTAGCAAAAATGATTTTTATTTTATCTGAAATACCTTTTAAATACTTTTCTATAAAACATAAGGAATCTGGCCTTTTGTCTTCTACACAGATAAGCATACAGACACACAGCTCAAATACATAAATATCGCTTCTTAGGAAACTAAGCTTTAGCAAAAAAATACAGTATTTGAGTTTAGAATTTGTTTTCTTCTGAAATTGGAGCATCACATGTCATACATTTTCTGAGAATAGAGAGCTTCAAACGTTACAAATATCTGTTTCTGAGATAATTTGCTAGAGTATTTTTGGGATTTTGATTTTCCTTCTCCAATTCTGAATTCCAAGGAATTTGTACATCTCAGATCATCTTGGTATGGTACAGGTTTTCCCTAAGCTACTGGCAGTAGAAGCCACAGAGTTTCTGTGCTGTGATGATTCTTTTACTGGCTTTATTACCAGCTTTTTAAGTTGGTTCTGTTATCAGGTGATATGATTTGGAATTTGTATACTGTAAATGCATTAGTTCACTTAACCTTAGTTTTCTTCCTGCAGCTTAATTGATTGTCATACATTTAATCTTGGATCACTGCTAAGGGCATTTTCCCCATGCTAGCCAGTGATGAATGACTACCTGGTCATGATGTCAGCAGTGCCCAGGAGAGAACTCCCCTTCAAGTAGCATCTTGACTTACTTTTTTCACGAAGAGCTTTTAACAGTTGGTAGCTATTGTGCAGTGGAAGAGAACAGCAATTTTCTTCCTATTTAGAGAATTGTTGTGGTGTGATGATTTTGTAATTTTAAGATCTTGAGATCAAGTCCACTGAAATCCCCATTCATTACCAATGAATGGGCTTTTGATCTAGCTTTAATTCTTTCAGTTGATGCAAGCTTCCTGATTTATTTAATTAATTCTATTTTGCATCCCTACTGCTTTTTATCCTTTGGATTTTGGTGCTTCTTTGTAGGCTAACATTAGGTTATATGTTGAGACCAGATCTTTCTCTGTCTCGCTATTTTTACTGAGCTTTCACTCAGTCCTAAGGAAGCATGTCCTGCTGGCTTGTTATATTTGGATTGTTCCTGTGGTTTAGATTTACTGGATTTTATTTTAATGTGCCTCAGGTTGCTCAGTTGTTTGGTAATGTGCATTGCAGTCATCTTCTGTTCTGAGTAAAGAAAAAAGACTAATGTTTTTCAACAATTTTATAATCTTGTTTCACGGTTCTCAGCATTTCTGGATATTAGTTTTAATGAAGCTTCTCTCAACCCTGCAACTGTGCAATCCCTGTTCTGTCCCTTACTCTGAAGGATCCCAAAATAAAGACAATTCTTATCCATTCTAAGCAGTAATGAGAAATAATTTGCAAATTACTTGATACAGTTTAACTGTTCGTAGCAGCAGAGAGAGGAGGCAGTGTTCACACAAACGACTTCAAGGCCTTACGATAATATTTAGAAGATTTGCGCTTTGCAACTACAAATTTCCATTTGTTAATTGGTAGAAGTACTTAGGAAGTACCAGGAATCCCAGCCACCTTTGATCTATGAGAATTTGAATAGCTAAGACTTCTTCAGTATGCTGGGACTCTAATCAGGTCCTGAAATTCAATTCTAGCCTGAGGAATGTGTCCTTATGGTTTCATCACCTTTCAAGGGCTATGGAGGGTTTAGACAGTGTGGCAAGCTTTGCAAGTAAGCATTTGCAAAGAAATGAGCCAAGATGGTGTTCAATATTACCGTTGTTTTCGGTTTCAGTTTTTATTTTAAATAGGACAAATCCTATAGACAATAGCTAGTCAAAAACAGACTCTACCTACACCATGCTTTAAAAAGCTGAATGGAAGACGCTGCTATTTGAGACCCCAGAAATTTACAGCGTATGTGGGGACAGCTGTGCCCTGGACAAGCCGTGATGATGAATCATTTACTGAATATATCTTGTAGAGTTTCAAAGCACTTTGGGATCCTTTGTGATAAGTATTATTACATAAGGGCAAATATACCTCTGAGGTTTATGGCAGAAATGCTGGCTGTGCTCCAATTTACAGTGCTGTTGGCAGACTTCACCGCAGCTCTGTTCTGCTGACAGCAGAAAAGTCCAGCCACTAAAAGCATGTCAGACTCAAAAAGCATTCAGCTAATTTATGTTCCTTCCGGTAGCTAGCTACTAAGAAAGAAATTTAATGGCCAAATCCCTTCCATGCAGATGCAGTGACTGCTGAATTGGCCTCTTTTTACCTGCCTCTGGCAGAGCTAATGTGTGAAATAAGGCAAAGAGTAGATAATCTGTATGATTTTCTTGTCTTTGAGGGCCAATGAGCTAAATAAACAACCTTCTCATTTCTCTTTTCCTTGGACATACAGAAGTTGGAACCCTTCCCGCAGATCAAATGACACATCCCATATTTTACACTTAACTTGGTAAGGAAGCGATTGCAGAATGTTTTAGCTGGGGGAACTGAGAGAGCAGTTATGGACTGAGCTATTACAACTGGCGTGAAAATGCTCCTGGGGATTCGCTACTTAGGAAGCCTGACTAGAGTTTTATAACCCTTGCCACTGAAACCGGCTGTAAGAGCTTCTGTGTTTTCAATGGCTCTGAAGGCAGTGCGCTAAATTGATTCGGACTGATAAAAGCATATAAAATGAAGAGGGTCTATCTGGAAAATCTATGTAATTAGGTTGCGCTTTAGGCATCAAAGTTAAATGTAATGATATCCAGGACTTCCTGCAAATGAAATGACTATTCTTTCAGTTTTGTAAGTTCCTCACTAACATTACCATGCTACAAATATTCAAAATTCTTTTAAACTAAGTTGCACACCCATTATTTCATGAGGATTCTTGAGGAAAAGTGGTTCACTTTACCAGGACAGCCACTACTGTTCTGTGGTTAAACTTCCAGCCTTGTTTTCATTATAAACTAATTATAGAAGCTCCCAGCCCAATTAGCTAATTTTAAAGTGAGCCAATAAAGGCACTGAGTTCAAGACTGTTTGCCTTAATCACAGCTGTACCTGATGACTTCAAATGAAAGCACTTTACAAATCTGTAGTAAGGTATAGCTCCTACTCAAGATGGTACAGAGAAAGGAAGAATTATTACAACAGAAGACAGCGATAACTGAGCAAAGCCCTGGTGACGCTGAGGAAGAAGATGCTTTTTTGGGTAGTCCTGATCTTAAATACGGTATTCAAAGCTGTCGCTATCCTTGTGAAAGAAGGTTAGCATGCTTGTTTACGTGGTTGCTTTCCACAGGGCCTGTGCACAGGATCAGAAAGCCAGCTAGAGTGCTTTGAGAAGGTTGAAAGTGGAGGAAACGCTGTCCCAAGTCACTCACTAAATCTGAGAGTAAGTGGAAATGAGAAGCAATTCTCTCATTTACCTGAGAGCCCAGCTGGGGTGCCACCCTTCTTGTCCTATTCTGGTGTGCCTGCATCTCTGCTCTCCTCTCAGGGAAACTGATTTTGGCACTACTATCTGCAAATATTTTTGTAATCTGCTAAAATGCAAGTCCTTATCTATTATTTAAAAATCCATGTTTGGATATTTTAACTGTAATAAAATGCCTAGCTCAGCTCCGGAGTTATATATAGAAAACCACTGATTTGGGCGTTGTGTGTCCAGTGTTGTCAGCCACAGACATCTGGGTTTTTTTCCTGAACTCCTATTGTCCTCTACTAGAGGTTATTGACATTATACGAGTGGGGTGTAGAACAAGATGCTCGAAACCCATTATTCATAAGGTAGCTTAATTCCCAGAGTTTAGTCACTAAGCACTATGAGCCTCAGATGTATGTGTTACACAAATGCACTATTACATAGAAATAATTATGGTGTCACACTATGGAATTAAGTTATGGATATATTTGTTATATACTTAGGGAGTGAATGCTAATGATAATAAGCACAGCCTTTGACCAACTTGAGCTGTTCTAACAGTGTGTGTTTGTACCAACATTTAAATCCCTGGTCAGAGAAAATGTTGAAGTGCATCTACAATAGCCCCTGCTGATCATCCCCATCTATGGGGGAAAACAGTTACACGATGCTGTCAGTCTGGTTCTCAATGTAGAAAGCCTTGTAGGTTTTTTGCAAGTGTCTAGATGTCTGAAGATGTGGATGTGTGCTTTAAGTTCTAGGTATCACAGAACCGATGAACAAAGGATTAAGAATAAAATCGGAGCTAATTACTTCTATAATTTCAAAAATCCTAGTGCACATCTGATTTTTTTTGTATCTAAATATCTATGAAAATACAGCTTAAGATTCCACACTGGAAAATGGACAGCTGAGGACACCTCTCTAGATGGTAACTGAGATTTGCCATGTTGTTTAGCATTGTTCTGTTGATAGGAGACAAAACTGTTATTTACATCTGTAATGGAGAGGAATTTGCAAATAGGGTAATAGCT